CCTGCTCGAACTGGACCAAAATGTTGGGGCGGTGCGGCTTGATCGATGAAATAATTGAAGCCCCAAGATCGAGTGGTACGCATGAAAATACGCGGGTACTTTTGGGGTTTTTACGCGACGTGCGTAGGTGTTTATTCGTACACTTTGAAACATGAACTGCTTAAGCCTAACTTAACTTAAGCGCTCCAGAGCAGAGCGGAGACTTAGGGGAGAGATGGAGAGGGATGGCAGTGCGAGCGCGCGAGATATAGAAATCTGGATAAAACTGCCGCTCGACACTGTCTCCTGAAATTAAACGCCCTTTTGGCGTGAACACATACATACTTGGTCTAAAATGCTAATCTCAAGATTAATAAATAACTTTTCAAAAAAACTATAAAAAAAATCACCTATAAGTATATATATATAATAAAGCATTTTCAAAGCTCACATTTTGGTAAACAAGAAATGTCGAAATTCTAACAATTTTAGGAGTTAAGCATTACAAATCAATTTTATATTTCTTTGTAAATATTGTGTTTTGTGCTGTTTGGGGCCACTGGGGGGTCAGGTCGAACCTTAGTGGATGCTCTAGCTTATTCGGCTTAGGCTGAGGGCGTATCCCCAGAATTTTCGCTCTTTCCATTTATAAATCTTTAGGGATTAAACATATATTATACAAATATTACATATTTTAAAATCAATACATATAAAATAAGTAAATTTAAAATTTCAAGAGAGCCTTGAGCCAGAATAAAAAAATGATGTGAAAAAAAAACGTATGGTGTTACGCATCTTTGTATTCTAATGTCTTTGGTTCTATCACGGGAAAATTCTCGTGGCAACACTCTTTGTACACAATAGTCCCTATACATTTCACTGCGTTTACCTGAATGGACAGCTCATCCTTGATAAATTTGGAAATATCAATTATATAATCATTTGGCGTTGAAAGCATTACACATGTTTGCGTTTAAATTATATTTAGTTTTGAGTTGTATTGCTTTTTTTCGGAGCAACTGAGCTTGCACGTCCTCTCCCTTCGGGTACGATTTGCTAATGCCGAGCAGCTGTTCGTTTCAGCGAATCTCTATGTGAACAGGAAACGCGTTTCTTATTTATGAACATTAGAGCGATCCGCATTGGTATGCAAATTTTTAAGGTCCCACTTTTATCCGCCTATAAGGTGCGCATTGAGCAACTTATGGTATACCAAACGAAAGTTTTTCAAAAACGGTTCATAGGGTCTGCGAATCGGTTTCAAAGCTTAAAACTCATACGCACTATTGGGGCTGATCAAAAATATTTTTTTTATATATGTAGGTGGCCCTGAGTTGAATCGAAAGTCCGTTGTGTATAATTCTGAGTTTAGTTTTCCCTCCAAAAACATTTCGGTATTTGTCGTAAATTTTTTTTAAATCAAATTGTCTGAGATATTAGTGTTGACAATGTAGGGGAAAGGATATCGATCTCTTTAAAAAAGGTTATGGCTGGTATACATGTCGTTTGAGTAATTTTAAAAGAAATTTTGAGGACGTATAGCAAGGTCTAACACCCAACCAAAAAATTGTAGTTTTTGAAGACATGTGTTGTACACTTTGATCAACCATATGATGGGGTGAGAACAAGATTTCATTTTTTGGACCGCCCTAATGAACATACCTCGCGCACCGTTTGTCTCATACGTTATGTACACAGCCGCTTAAGATTGCTGTTCCACTTTCAAGGGGATTCTTGTTCATATAGAGATTACTTGATCTGCATATGCAATTGATGCAGTGTGCAGAGGGTATTAATTATAAAAACGATTTGTTTTATGAACGTACCTTGCGCATAGCCTCTGCGCACACCTTTAAATGGCTTTTTCACATTTGAGCGTATTCTTGTTTAAATAGGGTTCGCTATAGCGAACAGCTGTTCGGCATAAGCAAACCGTGCCCGAAGAAGAGGACGTGCAAATTGAGTGACTACAAATAAATGGATAAAACATTTTATTGAACTCTTATCTCCTAATATCTTAATTGTACAATTTCTGGAAGAATTTCCAATAAACGATATTTTCGGATTGTCTCACTGGTGGTCCCAAAGATATCCTTCCACCATTTTTGCCGTTCCGAACATTTCCCAGTTAGTTCCTCATCCTAAGTTAACGGACTCTTTTATGCGATAGGAAGGCGATGTTTGTTTGGTGCAACTCTGAGGTCTTCTTCTTGACAGTTAAAATTGAAACATTTATTACGAAAACGTAAACAATGAAGACAGGGAACAATCGAAAGTGGAAGGGGCAGAAGCAACAGGCTGGGTTGAACGAGCCAGATCAGCTGTTATCGGATGGTAGATGGTGGATGTGCTCTGTGGGAAACGTAGCTTCACAATTGTCAAAAATTCCAACCGTTTCGAACGGAAGGGGGTATTAATATATATTTATTTTATAAATAATAATGTACCGGAAATGTGTGAGGGAAAGCCGTGAATCTATTTGCTATAATTAAACTTGAGAATGACAAAATTAGTTTGTAAAATAATATATTGGTTTGTAATAGTTTTGGCTTTGAAAGATATGTGCTAAAGCTGTTTAAGATTTGCAAATGAAATTTTTTTATCAAAAGGATATCAGTGGGTATTATAAAGAATTTTTATTTAAACGACTCTCATGTTCCCCGTCAGCTAAGAGTGCAAATATACACACACAGACGCACGCTTATCTTGTTTTCATTATTTCTTTTTTCATTAGTTTTCCACCTCGATTAGACTTATTCGCACATTTTTTTGTTCAATTAGACGTTTATTTAAAATAGGTTTTTAATTAGTACATGTGGTATTTTGTTTGTATGCTTTAATTTTGAACGGCTTGACTATTTTCATATGCCAGAGTTCGAGGCAGATAGATGTGGAGGAAATGACTTGGTGTAGCAGGCTTAATTTTCAAACAAATGTTATGCAGTTATTTGTTTGTATGCCTTAATATTATGAGCATCGCATTTTAAAACCACTTTGTTAACATTTATAACAGTGGAAAGGCAAAAAAAAAAAAAAACAAATGGAACTTTGGGGTCCCTCATTTTCCGAATTCATACCTAGCTCGCGTCTTCGACTTATTTTCAACTTTCGGATTTTTTTTTATTTGTATGTCGAGGCGTTGTTGCTGCAGGAGCTGTTTGCCTTTTCTTTAGGGATACCTTTATTAATTAGTTAGAATGGAAAAAAAAGTTCCATAAGCCTAGTACTCAGATCGGTTAAGAGTTTCACTAGTCAAAAAATCTTTTTCTTTGTGGGTTTGTTGCCAAACGGAAAACCAATCAATTGGACTAACTTAAAAAGCAGAGTCTGCTGGTGCACAAAGAAATGAAAATAAATATAAATAGTATGTTCAACGAATGTTTTTATTTATTTAAATTAGTAGTGTAAAACTTCCTCCTCGTCCCACGGATGCTTCGCCATCTTTAGTCCAGCTCCGAATCCCAGTAGACATATTGGACCTTAAGAAAGTGAAGTATGGGGGTTGTTCCGTCTGATGCTGCAGGAAGTCGCCCAGCATGCTGGCAATGGCTCCTTCAGCTGTACCATAACGGGTGCCCTATTTTCCTCCTCCCTATTGAAGCAAGCGTGTCCCACATCACCGCTTTAGCTGTCAAATAGCTGATAATCTCTATATCTTACCTATTTTCTTTTATAAATCTTTATTTGAATTAGACAGTTACTAATAATAAAAAATCAAACTGATTTTAGTTCCGAATAGGTTTAAAACTAGTCACAGCTGTTTTAATTCATCATTTAGGGTCGTCATCTCTAATGCTAAAATTTGTTGTTGAAAATCAACAATGTTTTAATTAAGCAATTGCGGGAATACACAGTATATTTTGTTTTAATCCATCCCTAACCTCTCCCCACCATCCCCCATTCATTCAACGGATTGTCCATAACGCCTAGTACTCACATCGACGAAAAACGCGAGCTAACCATAGGAGTGAGCGAAAGCCAATTACGCGGCTAACGACTTTCGTTGGTTCTGTTTTTCAGGGCGGTACTCAGATGAGCTAAGGAAATACCAGAAAAAATACCAGGTTAAGCGAGTGAATTTCGATGAACGCGGTTGGCCGCGACTCAAAGAATAAGAAATGTAATCTTTGGCGGTGTTCGTAGAGAAGCGGTGTGGAAACAAAAAAAATTAAAATGGTAGGAAAACCCCGAAAACGCTTGCAGGATATCATTACACATCAAAAAAGATGTATAATCCAAGCTGTTGCCCATTATTGTGAGACTTCACCGACAGGAACCAATACCACAACTAGGCAAATTCGCAGAATATATGAAGTGCTGGACGAGATCAACTAGAGCATTCCAGTGGGACTTGGCGCCCTACGTAGCCATTCTATCGGGAGTGTCCTCGCAAAGTTACTAAGTTCTGGCCACAAGAATTTGGTTACGTTGTACTAATGCCGGTATCTTTTTAGCAGAATCACCATTAATACGACCTCCGACGACCCCGCCATTGGGGAACCACAGGACTAAACTTCCACCAGCTACTTGACAGCTTAAGCGGAGATGGAGGACGCGCCGACTTCTATAGGGAGGAGAATCTAGGGTCGCCCGCTAAGGGACAGCTAGAGGAGCCATTACCAGCCAATGCCAGGATGCTGGGGGACTTCCTGCCGCATCAAGCGAATCAACCCTCGTTCTCGATTCGGCTCCCACTTCCTCAAGGTCCAATATGACTATTGGGACTCGGAGCGGCAATACAGATGGCGCGGGGAAGATGTCGAAGCATCCGTGGGACGAGAAGAAAGCTTTAAGATACTAATTTACATAAATAAAAACATTCGTTAAACATTCCTTTTATTTGTATTTTAATTTCTTTCACCAGAACTATTATTTTTTTAATTGTTCCAATTGATTTGTTTTCCGTTGGACAACAAACCCAGCTGCTTGACAGTAAGACCGTGCCTCAAGCATCGCGGGTGAACTTTGAAAACTTCGGTCACACGACAAAGAATAAGATTTTTTGACTAGTGAAACCCTTAGCCGAACTGAGTACAAGGCTTAAGGTTTTCCTCTCCAAAAATTTCCCGTTAGTCCGCCATCCGAATTTGACGGACTCTTATATGCGACAGTTAGAAGATATTTTTGGGTGTAACTGTAAATTCCTCCTCTTGACAGGGAGAAGTGGAACTTTCACCACAATAATGTAATCAAACCAATGCCGGTAAAATTATAAAAAACAAGGAAGAACGCTATAGTCGAGAACCTCGACTATCAGATACCCGTTACTCAGCTATATGGAGATATGCAAGCAGCAAAGCGAGATTAAAATGCGCCACCTACCGGCGGTATACAGATTTAAGCGTTATGGGCGTTAGAGTGGGCGTGGCAAATTTTTTTTTTGGATCAATCGATAGGTATCGACGAGACCAATACATTTCAGTTAAAATTTTTTATCTAGCATGAAAATTGTGGGCGTCACAGGTTTTCGCGGTTTGTGGGCGTTAAAGTGGGCGTGGCAAACTTTTTTTTGGGTCAATCGATAGGTATTGATGAGAACAATACATTTCAGTTAAATTTTTATTCTAGCATCAAAACTGTAGGAGCCACAGTTTTGGGCGGTTTGTGGGCGTTAGAGTGGGCGTGGCACTGTGCCGAAACAAACTTGCGCTGCGTAAGAAGCTCAGGAGTCTGCACGCCAAATCTCAATAGCCTAGCTCCCATAGTTTCCGAGATCTCAGCGTTCATCCGGACGGACAGACAGACGGACAGACGGACAGACGGACAGACGGACATGGCTAGATCGACTCGGCTAGTGATCCTGATCAAGAATATATATACTTTGTGGGGTCGGAAACGCTTCCTTCTGCCTGTTACATACTTTCCGACGAATCTAGTATACCCTTTTACTCTACGAGTAACGGGTATAAAAATCATTAATGTACGAAAAATATCAAATTATTGTTAGTTTGTTCCTAGCGGAAAAAATTTGCAAGCAGAATGATGTTGGTAAAAATTGAAACTGTTTTTGTAACAAAGAAGTTTGTTTTGGATTAGAAGTCTTATAGCGTGAACCAAGCATCCGGACTCTTGGTTTGTTATATACGCGGCTAACGCTTTTCGCCTGGTTCTTTTATTCAGATGAGCGTGCCCTAATATGTACCATAGCCATAATGTTAATCGATAGCAGTTAATATTACATATTTGCAAATGTGCTCCTAGAAGGAATAAATTCTGTCGAGTTTTGTTTCCTCAATACAAATTAATTTTGAGAAAAAATTTAATAAAAAAAAAACTTAACGTTTTGGTTCTGAAATAAACTATCTCGTAAGTATTCGTTAAAAATTACTGTAGTAATCTACCACAAGACAATAAAATTTCGAGGAAAACGCACTGTAAGTTTTTTAAGTTTTCCAGCAAAGCGATCAAATTTTCACGTTTTCCACGCTCTGGTTATACATAATATAGACTCAATAAACCTTCTTCATTCTTAACTTGTAATCCATTTCAGGACACTCATATAGTTAATGAGAAATATACTGTATGTACAGGGACGAACCAGTGACGAAGTGTTGGCACACTTAGTATCTTGAACTTTAGGTGCGCTTTTCTACCTTTATAAATGTGTTATAAAATTCTACACAATTATTTTGGATAATTAATTTTGTTTCATTGAATTATCTCTTAAAACTAAATTTTAAAAATTAAGAAACCAAAATATGCGCAGTCTTAGCTGCACAAAAGTCTTGGCACACTTGGTTTGCTTTTTTTTTGCCAAATCAGCTATTTCTCTATATCTTAAGTGGTATAACGCTAAATTAGTATCGTAAAATGGATTTACTACCTTAAATTACATTAAAAGTGCTTATATATAAAAATAAAAAAAGCAAGGAAGAACGCTATAGTCGAGTGCCTCAGACATCAGATACCCGTTACTCAGCTAAATGGAGATATGCAAGCAGCAGCAAAGCGAGATTAAAATGCGCCACCTACCGGCGGTATACAGATTTAAGCGTTATGGGCGTTAGAGTGGGCGTGCAAATTTTTTTTGGATCAATCGATAGGTATCGACGAGACCAATACATTTCAGTTAAAAATTGTATCTAGCATGAAATTGTGGGCGTCACAGGTTTTTGCGGTTTGTGGGCGTTAAAGTGGGCGTGGCAAACTTTTTTTTAGTCAATCGATAGGTATTGATGAGAACATTACATTTCAGTTAAAATTTGTATTCTAGCATCAAAACTGTAGGAGCCACAGTTTTGGGCGGTTTGTGGGCGTTAGAGTGGGCGTGGCACTGTGCTGAAACAAACTTGCGCTGCTTAAGAAGCTCAGGAATCTGCACGCCAAATCTCAATAGCCTAGCTCTCATAGTTTCCGAGATCTCAGCGTTCATCCGGACAGACGGACATGGCTAGATCGACTCGCTAGTGATCCTGATCAAGAAACGCTTCCTTCTGCCTGTTACATACAGGCGAATCTAGTATACCCTTTTACTCTACGATAACGGGTATAATAAATACCTTTATCTCTGTGCTATTTTTTGTATTTTAATTTAAAAAATTTTGTTTAAAGAGATCATTTAATGAAACATATTAATTTGATTGTTAAGTATTCCCATTATCCAAAATAATTTTGTTGAATTTTATAACACATTTATAAAGGTAGAAAAGCGCACTTAAAGTTCAAGATACTAAGTGTGCCAATACTTCGTCACTTTTCGTCCCTGTACATACAGCTGTGTTCATAAAAATAGCAGTGCGACAGAAGCGAAATTATATATAGGTTGGTACATTTTTTTGAAGAATGGATCATAGGGATACAAAACAAGCAAAAGCCCCATTAGATTTGGTCCGTTTTGGGTTATTTCAATATTTTTGCACACGGGCGCAATATTTTTGCTGTTCACTGAAATAGCAGTTTTTGACTTTCGTCCGGAAATTTTTGTAACTTGGTGAAAATTGGGTTTATTAGAGACCATTATTATAAATTGAACGATAATACGCTATAACTATGGAAAAAAATTAACTTTAGTCGGCAGAGGTCCTCATTGCTTCAAGGGAGAAAGGAAAAAATGATTGAGCTAAGTAAGGAGGGCAAAACGTATCTATATGTATTAGTGTCTCTTAAAGTCCAGCCAATATGGTTTACAATGCCATGAATTATGAACCGAAGCCCGAAGATGTTATGCGGTACGGAAACCAAATTATAGAGGACGTTCGCAAAGT